ATTCTGAAGAAAAAAATTTATTTTCTTTTTAATTTTTTTCAGCTATTTTATTGCTTCAACTCTTTCTTAACTCAGATTTTTAAATTTAAAATCTATAGATATAGAGATGCAGAGTATAACAGTTTCGGTTATATCTATCATTTCAATTAATAATATTATCAGGCTTTTTTTTAATTTATTGTTGTGTTTTTGTCGGAAAAAATAGTAACTTCATTAAGTCATGAAAAGTTCTTAGAATTAGTCATGGAAAATCATGAAAAGTCATGAATTTGAAAATCTGAACTGTAGCAGATGCCCTGTATGTTCCTCTTTTGAGAAATGATGATCGCTCAAAGGGTTATGGGATATTTAAGGATGATATTTCAGCTATACTGAACTATTTCATTTATTACAGCATTATTTCTTTTAAATATGTTCAGCTGTTTCTTATTCCTCAAAGTTTTTCCAGCAATTAAATAAAACTTGCCCAATATAGCTTACAGTGACTGTGTGTTTCCTCTTAATATATTGTGTAAATTTGTGCAGGGAATTTTTTTTCTTCTTCTAGATTTGAGTGGCAATCCTGTATAAGCCATATACAAACACAATTAAATCCATGAATTTCTTTTTTATTATTTGTTGTCTTTGTTATTGACTTAGAATTATTGGATAATATTTGGATTTGAAAATAATGTTATTGATTATTGACAACAAACAACATTGTTTGTTTTCTTATATAAGTTTCAAAATTTTCTAATCAGTAAGGTTGAAAATTAATTATAACATTTTTTTATATTGAAGAATTTAGAAAAATTATAAATATTTATTAAAAATTATGAATGTCTTTTAAATATTAGATTTTTGGCAATGGATTTGCACGTGATAAAATTATAAATTTTGTTAACAAAGAAATTTTTAATTATAATCTACTATCAAATCAACGATTTTATATATAATTTAATTTCATTAGTTGTATATCCATTGTTTTTTTTAAAATTAAATATTGGAAATGATCGTCTATTTGTTTTTTTCAATAAATAAACATTACTACAAATTCTTTTAATTCTATTTATTTGATTATAAATGGTATTGAAATAAATGTTTTTGGAAACATTAAAATTCCATGTAATTGGTTTATTTATATTAAATTTAAAATCATTTCTTTTATCATATTAATCAATAATGCAGATTCATATTTTTTATTAATACCTTAATCCCAAAAAATTAAAAAAATATATTAAAAATATACGCTACCCTACAATATTTTTTTAAATTTCTCGAGAAATACTTAAAGGATTATTTTATAACTTTAAGGATGTTCGTGCGATTTTACATACTTAGCAATAAGATTTAAAGCTTTCAGAGATTCCAGAGTACATGGGAAAGGGAGGATTATTTTCTCTCCTTGTGAAGGAGGCGGGGAAGTGTCAAATTCTTATTTACTCCCTCCGATCAGCGACCATGAGAACAATGTTAAGGAGCGGTATGTTATATTTAATTTTTGCTTCCATTTATGAGGAAAATATGTTTGCCGCGTGTATGTCAGTGAATAATAGGTGAAAGGAAAATTACAAAAAAAAAAACATCGTCATGCTTTACTAACTGAAATAAATTTAAAAAAAGTTAAGTGAAAATGAAATTTTAAATAAGAATTTTAAAATGTGATTATTTTTCATTCTATAATAAAGTAGGAATAGTTTCATGTAGTATTTAATCATTCAAAAAATAATCTGTGAAACTTAGTAAATTATTATAATTTAAAGCATAGTTGACTGAGTTGTGCTAGTGAGGAAAAAATACAAAAACCATTAAGCATTGTTTAAAATTGATAATTAATTAAAATAAAGCAAAATGCGCAGTAGTGATGTAAAGAAATTACAGCAACTATTCGATATTTGGCCCTTTTGTTGAATATTCGGTTGGCCGTATATTAAGCTTTTTTTCTTCTTGTTTATATATTAAATTTTAGTACTTGCTATTGTTTTATTGGTGAAATGAAATGATCAAAATTTAAAGCCTCAATGTGAGATATAATTTATGCTTTTTACTTTCTCTTTTTCAGGGGGAGGTGAATAAAGATGAACTTGTCAATGCCCTTAATTTAGAGTTTGTAAATCGAACAAATGAAGTTGGCGTCGATTTCAACAGAGCTATCCAGTTCAATCATACTGCTAATTTAGTACAGTTTGTTTGCGGCTTGGGACCTAGAAAAGGGACATTTTTAGTCAAGGTAAGATTTCTTATTTCTTTTCAATGTTGTTTTAATGAAGCTTCTTTTTACAGTGGAAAAATAACATATACATTTACAGTGAAAAATATATTATGATTAATTATAAAAAAGAAACTTGATTTTGTTCAATTAAAAATAATTCTGATTGTATTGAAATAAGATATGTAAAGTCAGTTATTTGAACATATTGGTGTTTCACCACTATTCTGCTGTAAAACGTATCATATAAAACGTAAATATTAAGTGTTTTTATATTTTTATTTTATTGTAATGTAGTACTGATCACAGAAATTTTGTTTTAGACTCTAAAAACAGCCAATCAACAATTAGAAAGCAGAACACAGTTAATTACCTTTTGCAAGATGGGACCCAAAGTTTTTGTTAACTGTGCTGGATTCATAAAGATTGACACATCTTCTTTAGTAGACAGGTTTGTGGGTTTATTTCGTAGCTGCTTTAATCTTTCTTTATGGTTTAAAATTACTGATGTATGTTCATAAAAAAAATATTTTTAAATTATGTTTAGTTAATTTGCTATAATAACTATGTTTATTTAATATGGTCATTCCTTTGAGAAGCGATTTTTATCATAGTTTATCTTGTAATTAAAATTATTTCATTTATAATTTCGAAAACATATTTTGGTATTTTTATATTGTCACACAAAGTTCAGTTTCTCTTCCTTTTTTTTTTTTTTTTTTTTTTTTTTTTTTTTTTTTTTTTTTTNTTGATTCCCATTTTATTTAGTCAAGCCAACATATATATTACTCTTGATTTCAGAATTTTTACTTTTCTTGCAATTTAATGGAAAATGTATTCTTCTTTAGATAAAATTTAAATCTTTGCACTCAGTTCAGTTGAATATTTCTTTTTTTATATAATTTGAGTCTTGTAAGAACTAATTCCTCAAAAATGAATGTCAGTAATAAATTAAAGTTAAAATCACGATTTCCGTAAATAAATATGCAAAACTTATACTTATTTGTTAAAATTGTATCTTTCAATTGTATTTTCATCCAATTCTTAGATGTAAGAAAATCGCGTCACGAAAAACAGACACCCGACTGCTATGAAAATTGCATTTGATTCAAAGTTACTTTCAAAGCGCTAACTTTGCCTTCTGGTTGATAAGCATATTAAGTATGTTTAGGAATAAAATTATACATTATTTATTACATTTCCAATCAACCATCTATAATATTGAGTTTGACCAAAGACTTTTGCAAGCTAGTGTATTTTTAATTTTAATGTTATCATTTATCACGGTACCTGAATGCAAATGATTTTTAACTATGAATGGTTCTCCAAAGTCCTCTTTAATTCTTTTCTTTTGCTGAAACTTGATAGCCAAAAATAAAATATCCATAATAAAGTAAAACAGGAAAGTATTTTAAAACTTTAACTGTGGCACTTGTAAAGAAACATGTTCAACTGTTAAAGAGATGTTAATGGACATTGTTTGAAATGTTTCAGTACGGAGACATATGTTGAAGTGTTAGACGGATCTCGTGTTCACCCAGAAGCATACGAATGGGCTCGTAAAATGGCTGTTGACGCTCTGGAATATGATGATACATCTGATGATGTCAATCCTGCTGGCGCTTTAGAGGAAATTTTAGAAAATCCAGAAAAACTGAAGGCAAGTTAATCTTACTCATTTCTCTCTGCAAGAAATTCCTTTTTATGAATTAATTATAGTGAACTTGAACCAATTGTTCTTAGAAAGAATCTTTTTTATTTATTTTATTATTAGTATTTTTTTAAGGTTTTAGTCAGGGCTGATTGTGCTCCAGTAAAAATCCGGATTTTTCGCTAGCAGTGATCCGGAAATTTTCTGAGATCGAAGATCCAGACATTTAAAAAAATCCTTGATCACAGAAGTTTCCGGAAATCAAATTTTCAAAGGTAGAACTTAAAAACACAGTTTATTTTATTTGTTTGTAAGGGAGAGCCAGAGAGATACTTTATAAGCTTATATTCATGATTAATATTCATTTTTTATCAGTAAATAGTTGTTATAATCATAAACTCAAAAAAGAAAGTCATATTTGTAAATTTTAATTATTTCTCCAGGTCATTATAGGTATGTGTAAATGGTATAGGTATGTGTAAAATTTTAAATATATTTTAAGTAAACTAAGAAATATTATGAAAAAGGAGAAAAAACCTTGTTTAAATTTTTTTTTGTAATTTTTAAATTTAAATTGTTTTTTTT